ATTTCTGGCTTTTTATTTTTTGGCGAAGTTAAAAAATGAAAAGTTCATTCTGCAAATTAAATTATTTTACAAATAAATCTCTGATTCTTTAAATCAGTATCTGAACAATATCACTTACACTAGATAATTACAAATTAAAACTTGTCTTAATATTGCAACACTTGAACGTTGTAAAATTTTATTAATCAAGACTTTACTTTTAATTCTCAATTACTTTTTTGTGACAAAAAAACTCGAGAAATGTGACGTAAAATTGCAACACTTGCACAAACTCATATTACTTATGTAAACTTGATCAATTTAATGTAATTATCGATATTACCTATTTATGAGCAAGTGGGTTTACGTAGAGTAGACTGTGCTCATACTTTCATATTTGATTTTTTTCTGAATTTAAATTATGTTTATTAATCCGTGCGCAATTATATCTATATGCATATTTTAATCGTTTAAATATATATCAGCACGCTTTGGTATGTTAATGCGCCGTTTATTAACTTCATTTAATGCGTGTCTGTGCACGCACCTTATAAAGTATATTTGAATTCAGGTTAGAATTTAATTGCCAGATGAGGAATCGGATTCATATATAAATATATATATATATATATATATATATATATATATATATATAAATGCAATTGATGCTCTGCACGTATGCTACTTCATGAGCACAGAAATTTGAGAAATTCATCTAACATTAGGAAATCATTGTAAGACTGGTCAGGTGATGTAAATTCCTGTTTTTATTCAAATTTTAAAATAATAAAATTAAAAAGGTCTGATATCTACAAAAATTTGTTCCGAAACGTTCATAATAAATAATACTTGTTTAAAAAAGTTTTTTGAGTCCATTGCTCTTATTTATTGTTTTATCGTTATATATGGTTGAGTACGATACTTCGCAGATTCGCTTTTTGTAATTTTTTTTTTCATTAGGTTGAGAAAGTCTATATTGTTTTAACGTATTATTGTAGTCCGTAGGCATAATTGTAAGTTGTCTAGGATTTTTTTCATTATTTTTGTGTTGTAATTGCTGCATTTATATAAATTCTGGCTGGTTTTCCCTACATATATCGATTTGCAATCTAGGCAGTTCATTTCATAGGCGAGATTTCTATGTCGTTCGGTGTTAGAATAGTTTTTTTTCTTTTATATAAAATATATATATATAAACATGTATATATATATATATATATATATATATATATATCCATTATATGTGTATTTTCTGCTACTCTTAAAGTTAAATTGATTTTTAATTATGTGTTGTAAATTGTATGAAATTTATGAGCTTTCTTTTTAGCGGTTTCTTTGCAGCTCGTTAAACTTTTGTGATGCCAAAGTAGTACTTATCATAAATTTAATATCAGTACGTAGATTGGGCGTAATTGATAAAACTGGAAATAAATCTTATGTGAAACAGATGAAGTGCAAAAATAACCTACGGTTATCTTAATGATGGCGAATAAAATCAGATTGCAAACTATTAAATATCCAGTGTAAAAAATATAGTAAAATTCAGTTTATTTTGTTTTGTAATAAGTATTAGAACTATAAAAGGACAAACATATTTTCAGAGAAAAAAAAATTAATGTCAAATTTATGGTGATTATGCATTTATATTTAAATTTCTTCTGTGGTCTTTCTCAATTAGTGGGCTTTGTGTGAAATTATGTACAATTTTATTCATAATTAACTGTGAAGCTAAACTATTACTCTAGGTATTGTCTATTCCCAATCAAATCTGGTCATTTTTTTTAATTGTGTCAGGAAATTCAAAAGTTTCTTTTCGTAATGTTTTTGATAATTCTCGTAAATTTGAAAATGGAAGTTCAGAATGAAAATTCATTGATTATTTGATTGAAATGACTAACCCAGTTCTGGATTTTTGAATTTTCTTCTTCATAATTCAGTTCCACATAAGCTTATTCGCCGTATATATACATTTTAGTAAGAGCAAAATTATTTAAAATTCTAGTGCTTTATAAATTTGCATTTTTGTTTAAATGAACTTTGAATGCTTTATCTTTCTTTAATTCGAAATTTTAAATAATTAATTTTAATTAATCAATTTTAATTATTTTATCAATCACTTACACATTGTCAATCAATGTTTCTTAATCAATACGTTCTACCAGAACAAATTATTTTAATATGTGAATCATTTTACTCTTACTTGATTCCTTCACCCTTCTGGGGGGTGAGGGTGTACGTTTTATATCGTAAGCCGCCCGGAATGATAGTGCAAGGCCGTGCAATGCACGGACCCCCGGTTGCCCCGATCGCTCGGTGTGTGAAACCGCGAATACGTCACACTCGAAGCGCGCGATATTCGCACTACACGTGTACTACGAAAATATATACTCACTTTTGTTGATGATACGACACGGAGGTAATGGAGAGAGGAGAATTTAGAAATTGAAAATTTTAGTATAGTTTATTCATTATTGATTTATTTTTTTGGTTTTTAGTTTTAATACTTTGGTTCTCTATACTTTGTTGCTTATTTATATGATTAGATTTTTGGAGTTCTGATTAAATAGAAATGTTATGGTAATGATTGGTCCCATATTTGTTACAGTATTTACTCACATTTGAAAAAAAACACGTAATAAACATAAAATCTAATGAGTGAGCATATTACATCTGAAGGCACACGTTCCAAATTTACTTTTGTTTGTAAGGGCTGATCAATAAAAATTGTTCTAAATAGTTTCAAATAGATTTTTATAAATGCTAAACTATTATTATTTGTATTTCCAAAACCGCTGAACTTGCTTTCTCAAAATTGTTACCAATTATTCATTCAAAAGTAAAATGTTTTTTGAAATGTTAAAATCGGCCGCTTCGATGGAACTAACATGAAAAATATCAAAAAATAACTTTATTTCACGTAGTTTGAAAATTATGAGCTTTTAGGTGCAAGCTAGAGCCTTGGCGAAACTGGGATCATTTTTCTATTTATATATTGTGGTTATTTTTCTTTTTCATTTAAATTTTCAAACTGCTATTAAAATCTCTATGAAGTTTGTTTAGAATCAAGAAGTTTGCTAAAATAAATTCAAAATTTTCACAATAGATTCAAATGCTATTCTTTAAAAAAATATACAAAATGCTTTTGCAAGAATGATTAAAAGTTTGTGCATTTAATTAGAATTGCAAAATAAGACGATATTAAAAACTAAATAATAAGATAAAAACGTAAAAATATTCTAATACTTCTTAACGCATTTTACTTACAATCAATTCACAACATTTTAAAGTATATAATGTATATAAAAAGAGTTACTAATTCAATAGATAAAATAGATTTATTACACTTCAATCTCACCTGTATTTAATTTGTTTTATTTTTAGTTTGCTTCTTTAAAATAACGTTTTAGATTTTAGGTCCGCGAAATTACAAAAAATTAAAAATGCATAAAAATGTATATAGGGAAAAACTATAACTGAAAATTAGGATTACTGTTATTATTTTGTTATAATCAAGGCCGATTCTGCCATAAAATAGCATTGGTTTACTTTACGGCAGAACTGGCCTCTTGATGCCAATTGTAATTTTATTTCCTTACAGTATCAAAATTTTCTTTTCGATTCTCCTTCGTCGATACCTCCACGATATCGTTATTATACGCTAATAGTTCGTTTTAATAATAATTAGTTATTTGAGTTATTAATGTTGTATGGATTTCAATGCAGTGAGAAAATTACTTATTGCATGAACTATAACGCCAATCAAGCGATTCCGAAAGAGGCAGGGGGTTGGCCGAAGGGCCGGGGGTTGGATTTAAAGCTTTAATGTTTGTTATAATTACCCTTGCACTTTGGATGTTAATTCTACATTATGCAATTGAAAAGTTTTAGTCGATAGTTTTTCCAGAAAAATTATATACGATTTAGTTAGAGTACAATTTTTGAAGATTTGATAGAAATTCATGATTTTTTATTATGTTATGACACTTCTATAAATTTGTTTTTTTTACTATTAAATTGATTGAACCGTTTAAAAAAAGTTTTGTAAGTGACTATTATTACCAGGGTAGGATGGAGCAGATGGTTTAATTTTGACTTTGTTAGTAAAATTTCCCGATAATTTTTAATTGTAGAATTATTTTTTTTGCTATTTTCCTAAAATTCGTTGTCTAGTTCTTTTTTATCGATAAATAAATTTTCCAAGTTTTCACAGTTTTTAGAACTAAAAAAAAAACAATAGTTCCATGAGATACTTCCAAACCCATACAGAACCATCAGAAATCATAATACTAATGTTTCTTGGATTCAACTGGATATCCAAAAATTTGTTCTTAAAAACTTAGCGCAACTTTTATACCTTTTTATTAAGACATTTTTATTATCCGGCCTCTTTGATAGCCATTTAATATTTTTATTAGATGCAGTGCCGTCTATTTATTCTAATTAAAGGTAACAAATCATTTGTTTGTTCAACATAATGATAGACAAACAATAACGCCATGACGCTCCCAAATTCCGGGAAATTATGTCTAACGACGTTTTATTGCACCCATAATTTTATACAACTGTCGACAATTGATGTAATTCATTTTTTTTATTTAAATATAAAAATTTGTTTTAATTGTTCTGTTATTTCAAGTACACGATTAAAAATGTATAAATGTACGTGATGATTAATATATTTTGCTTTTACAAATGAATATATTTACAGTAAAATGTAATTTATCATAATTTATGTTTAGTGCTAAACATGCAATAACAATTTTCAGCTAATTAATACTTTATTGTTCAAGTACTTAATCTTGGTTATATTTATGAACCAACGTTAACTGCTTAATTTAATGCATTTAATTTTACATAAAAAATAAGTTGTTTTATGCAATATGAATAATAAATTAAATTTTTATTTTCTGAAGGCGCTTGAAATTTATATATATATATATATATATATATATATATATATATATATATAATTTAAAATACAGTAATATTTTTTATGTAACTATTTTTTTTTTCCATTTCAGGCGGGTGAAAATATATATAGAGAAAATCAGACAGAAGGGGTAAGTGGTATTGCTTATATTTATATTGATATAATCAAACAGAGTATTTACAATTTCTATTATAGTATATTTTTACTTTTATATATTGCTGAACACAGTGATTTCTAAAGTGGTCCATATGAACTTTATGTGGTCCATGACAAATTTTAAGGGGTCCACCTCAGCAAAAAAGAATTTGCTAGGTCTACGAAATGAAAATTGGGGTTTACGGTAGTGAAAATGTCAACACACCAAGTTAATGTGTATTTATTTACATTATTCTGTCTGCAATTAAGTCATATACAATATATATATATATATATATATATATATATATATATATAAATTGACACAGAAAGTAAAAAAAAAAATAGTACGTTTTTATAAAAATGTTAAAGTTGATTTAGACTTTCAGTTTGTATTTGTAATATATTTTACATTAAGAAGAACAAGCTTGACAATTTTTTGCGATTTTTGAGACTGTCAAAGTATTTCTGGATAATAAAGATAACAAGTTTACAAGACGGTTTAATAATAGTGAAACAGTTTAACCTAGTAGAATAGGCCTGGCGTTATTACTTAAGGATTTTCAAACAAAAAATTTTGTTTGGACATTATTGACCGTAGAGATATAAGACTTATCTTACAAAAGTTCCTCGAAATGTTGGTAATTTATGGACCGATTCCGACGTACAATGGACCAATGTTATAGGAAAGCTTTGTATGTTATGTAGAACTTTCCATACTAAATCGTTCTAAATATTGACAAAAGCCATGTGGTTGCTATGATGTCATGCGCTTTTTCAGTTTGTCAGATAGAAAACCTAACCTATAAACCGCACAAATGTCAAAAAAACGATCTTAGATAACAGGATCTTTCTGATCCAGTTTCATAACATACTAGTGACGTTGCAGTTTATGTGTAAAACGCTTGAATGCACAGCAAACACATGACAGTATTCAGTATAATTCAGCAGCAGAATGTATGGAAATTGAAGCATAGCATGGCCTTGCCATAACATTGGCCTGTTGTGCGGCGGAATCTGCCCATCATTTATTATTTTGTCTTACTTTATTTTGTCAATTAATAATGGTATTAACATAAAATCTATTTTCACTTTAACACGTTAATTGCCATGTCAGTCATATGCATATAGCGCTAAGAAAATCTACATGAGCCATGTCTGATATACGCGATTTGGTAGGAAGACCACTTCTATCACAGATGTTTGATGCAAACGATACATTTGCTCTATGTTTTGAAAACTTGGCCCAACAGGAACAAAATGTGATTGTTTTTGGCTTACTACACAGCTTGTCAAGAAAAAGCCTTAGAGTTACATAAGTATATTCCAGGAATATTGTCGATTTTTTTGATACATAAAGTTTTCTTGATAGGGGTCATGACGGATTCCCGATAACATTTTTTTAATAAATTAATATAATAAAGTTACCATAGTCGATGTGAAAAATTTTTCGATATCATAGTGACCATTAGGGCTCGCCCGTAGGTAAGCGGTTAAGAGCGACGTGACCTGAATCAGAGGTCCCGGGTACGATACCCACTTTGAGCAGCCTGTTGTCAGGCAGCAGTGACAACGATTTTCACTTGGAAATATAGATAGCAATATGTTTCCAAGTGAAAATAGCCCTTATCCAGAACATTGCTGCACCAATAAAAAGTCAGCCCTATTAGATTAATTCTAATAACAAAAATCATCAAATATCAATGGATTAGCCATTGGGATATCATCTAAAAAATAAGAAGTAAAGGAGAAGTTTAAGCCTAACAGCTCATAGGAGGTAAGGTTCTGATTGCTGTTCAAAAATTTGAAAAAAAAAATAGTGACCATTAACGTGTTAAATGTGGAATGCTAAACCCTAGTACAGCTAGAAATTTATAAAAAAAAATGATATCAGGTAAATAAGAGTTTCATGGTCCAAAGAATCTACGATACACAAAAGTTTGGAAACCTGTAGCCAACAGTTTACTACCAACATCGTTTACATTTACATCCAGAACAGAAAATGCTTTTCCCAAACAGCTTTATTGGCTTCTCCCGAATTCGTCAAATCATATCGGGCATCAGTTGCATCTCGTCCGACATCAGGCGATATCCGGCGCATTGATATCTCCTCTGCGTTGCTCTATTTATAATAGGTGAATAGGTTTTCGTGTTTGTGATCGTTTGCGTATATATGTGGATTCGCATCCGGATCGGAGGAGGATAGTAGGAGGATAGGAGGTATCTAGTGTTTTTGATTGATGTATTCGGATGCTAGTAGCCCTCACTGGATGTGCAATGCGAATAGCTAATTAGTCTTACAGATAGATATCCTATAGTTTACTTCGCTGGACTAATGTTACTGGCTACCAATGCAGAGATAAGGGAGAGCCGGGGATGCTGGAAGAGTTCAATAGAAATCAACTTACATGATAATTATTCTGAGAGACGAATTGGATTGGAGACTAAGAGATTGGGCACGGTTGTGCCAGGGTACGGTAGTAACAACTAAATTATTCTGATTTTAAGAAGTATGTTTGTTCGAACAAGTTTCCGTTATTGCATTGTGCATTGCTATTAAAAAGTTAAAAGTAAGTTTTCATATTCAATTTCTTGATAGAAGGAATTAAAACTTCAATACAAGGCGCAATATTAATGAAATTAAAATAATGTGCAGCATGAAATTAATTAATACTAATAATAATAGAGGTAGTTAATTAATGTTATATTAAAGTTACATGAATACTAACTCATAACATTTGAAGGGTAAAAAATTGAATGAAGTGTGGATATTAGTATCAACGCATATACTCAAAAAACAAACCCGACGAACTCCGTTTCGCCACCAGATGGTTTCGTGAGAAAGATGAAGAAATTTTTTGTTTGTTTTATATTTGAAAAGGAAAAATTTGATTTTATCACACAATAGTAATGAATTTATTTCGATTACAAAAATGAAATGTTTTTGAGTTGAACTTCTCTAAGTAAATGAAAGTGAATCCGCAAATTATCCGTTTCATTGAAGTGCTCTCTGGTAAACCACATTTTTTGTTTTTTGGTCTGACGTTAACACAAACAAAGTGGATGGTTTTCCAACTCGTGAACAGGCAACGTATAACTACCCTTGTGAAAAACAATGATTTTCTAAATAATCTATTTGAAATTTCTCCCGCAAACACTAAGCGATTGGCCTTGCGACTTGTTATTGCGAAAGCAAGGCGAAAAAAGGTCGTTGACTTAACCAAGCATAATTCTGATAATTCCCACTAATGTCATTACTGGAATTTTTAATTACGGTACGTGAAGTTCCAACAATTTGCATTAAGGCACGATGCCATGCAACTTGCGGAGCCCGAGACCTTTCCAACGAATGCAAAATTGTCGAAATCGGTTCGTGCGTTCTGGAGTTATATCGTCAGGAAGGAAAACCCGACTTATTTTTATATATATGTAGATAATAAAATTTCAGAGTCGGATTTAAATTGATATGAAATTGCTTTTTCCTTTCATAAATTGTGCAACTTCAAAAATAGGTACAAAGATAAAAATCTAGAATTTAGAACATCTGACTTTAATTTAAAAGTAGTCTTAACTAACTCTTGGGTTATAAATTAGCAAGAACCTTAAGGTGTTCCAAATTTCCCTCTCTCACCTATATTTGCGTGCAAATATCTGTTCTGATCTAAATGTATTAGTGTTTGATTGATACTCTAACGTAACATGTAATGTGTAATATAATACGTCTGCATGATTTCATTTGCAAGACTAAAATATTTATATTCCATGATGTGTTGATTATTATTTCATATGAAAGAATAAAATGCAGAAGAGAATGGACTCTGGTCTTGGTATAATGGATTTAATGAAATCCATACGGATTTGATTTAGATATATTTTTCTTGTAAATGAAAGCTGGATGGGGTAAAAGATTGTTACTTAATACTGTGCAAATATAAGCATCACACAATTTTTCGATTTGGAAATAAGTAAATTTATTTTTATCATAATTATTTTATTGTGGTATTTTTGTGTCTAGTTTTAAAGTTGTATAATTTATGAGGAATAAAGCATTTTCATATCATCTTAAATCTGAATCTGAGAAACATGGTTGTTGGTTCTTCTGTTTCTTTCGAATCTACGACGACGGCACTTCTTTTGAAATTGATAACCAAATTAGTTTTTCTTGCATAGTTAAGGAATTTTTGACTAAACTTGATTAAAACCGGACGAACTACGTTTCACCACTAGATGGTTTCATTTTATCATGTTTTTTTCATTTTATCATTTTATTCATTTTATCATTTCGTTTGGTGATTAAAATATGAAGAAAAAATTGCCTGCTGTTGAAATTGAATAAAAATTTGCACAATACACGTGATTGATTTGATGGTTTCCAATTGAAATGTTAGCAAACGAATAACTTATATTTTTTACTTTTTTGCATAATATCACAGTGAACACAATGCCGGTTTGTCACATGAAATTAACTGAGCAGAAAACAATGAGTAGCTGTCAAACAAATGAGTAGCAGTCAAACAAAAAACATTAGTTTGTAGTACATGCTAAGTATCAGAGATGACGCTGTATGTGAAAAAAGAAAAAATGTTTTCCGCTTTTCTGTTGAAATTTTTCTTCAATTTTTTTTGCTATAAATCTCATGGAGCCCAAGACCTTTCCAACGAATGCAAAATTGTCGAAATCGGTGCGTGCGATTATATTCGTTTTTTGATACGAGTTGTTTTTTTTTCACAAATTTCTCAAAACATCTCAAACAAAAACTGAACAGATTATATATAGATACATATATCACAATTTAATCTAAAATATAGATGATATGAAATATAGATATTTGATATGTACAAGATAGCCAAGAAGAAACTAAATTATATTGAAAATATATAAAACTCATTCCTCTTCGATGCAGTTTTCTTAAAGATTTTTATTTTGATCTTTAAATTTATTTTGATCAAATACAATTTAGAATGATTTATATATATTTAAATATAGAAATAATAG